TGTGGAGGGGGGAATGACTCACATGAGATTGGCGCCATAGGCGTATCTCGGATTATTTTATCATTGATGGAAGGTCCCCAAATGCAGCCCTAATAACTTGCGATGTTTGTTTGACTATGTTTCTTGGTGGAAGTTACATGTTCGGACTTTTCTGAATTGGTTTGAACAGGTTGGGGCTCTATGGAACAACAAAAGGAAAGAAAATTAATGGAATCCCAAGTAACATTTTTAGAAAAAGAAAACATATTTACAGTATAGGTACTTACCTCACATTTACCAATGTAACGTAAGTAAATTAGACGTTGAAAATTGGAATATTATGACATTTCAACCACTAGGTTAAAACGAACAAAAGTTTTGAAACAACCTAATATTATTCAAGTAACACTTCATGTGAGATATTCACTAGACAGTTGACAAACCGCAATATGTATTCGCTATACATATGAAAGCTTTTGAAGCTATTGAATAGTGAAACACCTGTTGTGGTTTCGTGAACTATTTAGTGAAAATCTCACAATAAAACGTTACTTGACTACCTCATGGATTTTCATCAAGTATATCGGCCAAATCCATCACATTATCAGAATATATCCTACCTTCAACATTCATACCTAGGCGTAATGATACCAGAGTAGAAAAATAAAAAAATCTATTTTTGAAACTTTTCAGATCCGTCAATTGAGACTTTTTAACACTGTCAATTGACCATTTTTTAATATGTCAATTAATTCTTACCAAATCTGTCACATGAATTTCTTCAAATCTGTCAATAGTCAATTTTCAAATCTGACAATCTTAACCTCATTTTCTGTAATGTAATTTGGAAATTCCGACTCAAACTCAAAATTCATTTCTTATTATTTTCCAAATTATAAATTTTTCATACAAGAATTCACCAATAAATCATATTTGAAAACGGTGCAGTATTGAAGTATAGGTTGAAGATAAAACTGACATCCCACTATCTGATCTGAAGCTGACTCTTTTGCGCCCTTAAAAACTACTGTATACTCATAATAACCTTACAAAACGCATGCGAAATTATTTTTTAGTTTCAAATAACTCATACAACTTATACTAGAATGGAAACATATTGCTATATATACATAATAATAAGGACTGCTATGCTGGTGAGAAACACAGGTATGAAACAAGAAACAATGATAATCTTCGCATCGAAAAATTCAACTACACATATTTTTAATTTCAGCTACAATCAACTCCATCGTTTGTAGTTTGAGGACAATTGTTATTTTATGATTTGAAGTCTTGTTATCGTAGCTTTTTTGCTATACTATAAAAGAATATAAAATATAGCAATATTTTGTTGTTACTACAATAAACTACAATCCATTTAGAACCTATTTCAGAATTTTTTGGCACATTATTACTCGTCCTTCGTAGTTAGAATAATATTAATAGTGCTTTCTTTAATAGTAACCGATAAGACTACACAAAAATGAAAATTACTACATTTATTAGTATCGTTTGTAGGTAAAGTAGGCTGAAAAAAGGTAGATTTTTTTCAAAGCGGGTTCCAGCGTGACGGAGCTGCATAGAGCATAGACGCAATTTCTGCATGTTTGCTGTGATATGTTTGTTCAAGGTCAACGTTTTAGGAATCTTTGAAGATAAATGAGGCTCAGTGTTGTACTGGAAGCCCTTTGAGATGAGAATCAGATAATTTCATCATCAGGAAATGACTACCTATCACTGTGATATTGATTATTTGTTACCTTGATGAATTTTGAAAAACAAAACCATCCGAATTTTCATTTTTCAAATATATTTTAAAAATATGTGAAATAAAGTCACTTGAAATATATCATAATACGTTAGTTACTTTCGAAGTTTTGATCGATCAATGTTGACTACTTTTTACAAAGGTAGTCATTTCGAGTAGTCATCAGGTATAAAGTGAAATGCTTACTGAAACCTAACTGAAATCATTGAAATTGATATGGTAGGCAGGGATGGGTGTATAAAATCTAGAATGAGTTATTGATTTCAGATTTTTGTGTAACTTGAAAATTGTTTGAAAAAGATAAGATTAATTTTAATGTATGTAATGCACAGTGACTGTGATCTTGGGTTGTTTTCATTTCATATGACGCACATGAATTGTTCATTTGATATTGAGCTTCTTCATCTCATCCTGTTGAGTACATCACTGTGGCAGGGTTTAGTGAAAAATTCACCATATACGTGTAAGATCATCCAAATAATCATCTTTTCACAGAAAACTCTTTTCATAGATTGAAGCAGAATACTTCAAGGACACATGAACTTTGTCTTCGAATTGAAACATGAAATTCTTCTGTAATTATCAGATTCACTATCATATCTCGAGTGTTTGTTTTTCGCGAAACTGACGTTACATAAAATATCAAGTAAATATTTGATTTTTATCGATGTATCATAAAAGTAGGTATATCATAATTTGTGAAAATCGCAATTCCACTTATTTTAAGTCAACCTTGTAATCATGTGGCAAAAGTATTCTTGATGATGTAGCAGTTTATTGAAGTTATAAACGGGAGGAGCAAACCAATCGCTAATGGGTTGACAAGAAAAATAAGGACTTTGATTTTACATACGAGATAAACTTTCTTTTTTTATCTACAGACTTGTTTTTTCGTAAAACGGTTCTTTTACAATGTATGTGGAATTTACAGAGATACTTGGACAAAATCATGAAGAGTGATAACGAATCTTTCAAATAGTAGATTTGACACCATTTGATGGTGTGATGGTTGAATTTTCAAAAACATTTGTTCTGAAACTATTTCTTCATCACCACCTCACCATCAACAGAGCTTCCAGTCCTGATCTTGATACTCCTGATCATAGAAATCTGATGAAGTACTAAGGAACTTCTAATTACCTAATATTTCAGGACTAAAACGGGGTTCAAATATGATTGATAGACAATTTGTTCAATTGGTGCAACTCTCTAGGTAAATAATCCATTCACAGTGACGAGTCATAATCAATGTGCATAGGTTTTGCCGAATTGACTTGGATGTCATCCCAATAGGTGGTTCCACTTTATGTCTCGCTTGAGTTTATTCACATTTTGTCTACAATCGAGGACTGCCTGCCCGGTACTGACGATGCCCAACAGGCTGAAACAGCTGTCTACCGGTAGCTCTTAAATTGAAATCAATATGAGAATGATCAGAATGGTACTTATCTATTAGGAAGTTCTGTGTGGAGCACCCATGATGATTGTATTTCCTGAAGTCTTTACCTGCCATACAAAAATAAGGTTTTTTCTTGTTGAAGAGCCGCTTATACCAAACAAAGGCAAAGAATCTTCCAAATAACGATATATATTTGTTATACTATCGAAAATCATAAAGCTGTAGATCAATATATTCTTGAATATTATGTTGTTGAGCGATTTTTTTCTACGAATTTAAATTGAACCAAAGCGCTACTGGAAGTCTGAGAAATCAACCAGGCAGTTGGCAATGATGGTGTTAATGAACGAACTGTTTGAAATTGGTTTGCAAAATTTTGTTCTGGAGATTTTAGCCTCGAAGATGAGCCACGAAGTGGTCGACTTACAGTAATCCAGGACGAGGATTTGCAGACCCTGGTTCCCACGTACGCTTTGTGCGTGGGATCCAGGCGAAATAACTGGGCGTCAGCTCCCAAGGGGTGTTTGGTGATTCAAAACATATTATTAAAGTCAACAAGCTCGAAAAGTGGGTGTCCCAAGATTTGAATGATCAAAACATGAATTGGTCACGTTTTGAGGTCAGGATACATTCAAGAAGTTTCTGGACACCAATGAGCCACCCAGACACTTCCCCAAGACAAAAACCCATCAAAAAAAGACCACGGTTACTGTAGAGTGGTCAGCGGCTGGCGTGTTTCACTATAACTTTCTGCTACTGGGCCAAACCACTACAGCAGAGTCCACAATTCACCATCTGAGCGTCGAAGTTTTGCCCCACGCACCATACTCCCCAAACCTCTCGCCAATCGACTACCTCTTTTCAAGCACTTCGATAACTTTCTCACCGGTAGAACCTTAGAACCAACCTAATATCTATGTTGAAAGTTAATTAGCAGGTAGCATAGGGACTTGAGAAAATTGAAAAATTACTTTGAAGGTTTGCCTCCTACATAAAACATGAAGCTTGTTTTTTTTATAACCACAGATTGCATTGATTTCACATTACAAGCACCCCAGTAACGGAGTCCATATCTTAGGTGAGATTCAATGGGAGACTGATAGTAGTAACATCATTTGATATTACCCTTCAGCATAATACCCAGAAAACAACTGAGATTTGAAACTTTTATGTGGTCGCCTGTTTATAGACAGTCCAAAAGATGAGGTGGATGATTTATTCTCGATTTGTTAACTGTTCAACATTTTATGTTCGTTTTAGATATATCGAAACCGAGATTTTTGTCACACCATTTTTTTATTATGTTAATATCACAATTTATCAATGTTTCAAATTCCAAGGAACTCTGATCACGCCATAAGATCATAGCGTCATCAGTAAATAGTGAGGACTTTCTCTTAACCCCAGCACTGTCAGGTCATTTATATACTGAAGAAAATTAGTGGGCCAACGATTGTGCCCTGAGGAACCCCACAGATTATTTCGCTTACATGAAATATTTAAACCGAGAACATTTGCAGCGGACAATTTTTTACTTCGTTAATATCACAATTCAATAATGTTTCTACACAAGTTCGTAGAGTCTAAGTAAATAGTGAGGACTTCCCCTTGATACAGATAGTTATATAAAAAAGAAATAATAGTGGACCAAGGATTGTGCTTGAGGAACACTCATTTTATTTTGCCTTCATATGAAATCTTTGAACATTTTCACTACATTCAGATAAGAAGGATTTTTCAAAAGTAAAACTGTTCTTTTGTAATACTTTCAGAATAATAATGACTATTATTCCTGACGTTATTATAATTTCTGAAACAAACCTGATTCTAAAAAATATTTAAAAAAACTTCAAAAACATTTTAGATTTTTATTGAATTTTGGAATATATCAATAAATAGCGATTAGCTTAAAAAATACCTGATATGCTCTTAAAAAATTCATAAAAAATAACAAAATTATCCTAGGTACATAAGTTTTCCAAGCTTTAACTGATGACATTATAAATCTTGATATATTTTGATTTTATAATAATCTATTGGTGAGGTGTCGATTGGTTTGCGTGAATACTTCAAGCCGATTTCATCAGCAACTTTTTGTATAACATCAAGAGCATAATCTAATTGTTCTTTGGTGTGTCCTGCCGAAAGACAAATTCGAATCCTTCCTTGAGTGAGCGGAGTCGCTGGGTATCCAACTCCGACCGTGGCTATTTTTTCTTTGATGAGAGTTCTGACCATAGCACTGAAAATAAAGAATTATAAGCAACTCAAAGACAAAATTTAAAAGGAGCTGTTTTGTGATATAGTTCTAGAGCAGTGTTTGAAATTTTCTGAGTCTTTGCGGCCACATAAATATCTTTGAGTACATTTTCAGTAAAAACAAATCAGTTGAAAGATAACATTTTTGATAGAAGTGTTTAGAATGATAATGCTTTTAATGCAATATGGATTAACTTCATCTGACTATTGGATGTAAGTATAGTATCGTTTCAAAAGATTGTGGAAGGTTATAAACCCAATGAAACAGTATAAAATATTGATTCCCTCCCAAAAAGTGTCTTTTAAATAATACTCAATTAATACTTATTCAATTTGAACGTTTCACAAGTGTTTAATTCCGTCAGCATAGAAGTTTTGTGCTAGGGAAAGGATGAATTCGACGAATGCCGTTTTGTCTGGTTCTGATTGCGAAGGTTCTACCAGTGAAAAAGTTATCGAAGTGCTTGAGAAGATGGTAGTGAATTGGCGAGAGGTCTGAGGAATATAGTGGGCGAGGCAGACGCTCAATTCGTTAAATTTTCGGAGGGTGATTTGTGAAACGTGCGGAAGGCGTTGCCGTGGAGCAGGATCGGACATCTTCCGCTGACCAGAGCAATTTTCCGTATATTTCGTCAATTTCCTCACAATACGACTGTGATGGTATGGTCTGGTTCCAGAAAGTTATAGTTAAATGAAGGAATAGGTACATGTAAAATGAGTTTGAATTATATCAAGGAGATTACGTACAGCGCCATCTGCCAGCGAATAGATCAAGCAATAATGTTGATAATTCTGTCAAATACAGATCCCCAGCTTGGAAGTTACAAGCAAACAAACATACACGTGAGGCTTAATATAAAGCGTGTATGTGTAAAAAAAGGTTCTTTTGGTTGTGAAAAAACAAAGAACCTCGAAATGTGGTGACAATTTCTGTCGATCGTACGAATCGTGGGATACCCACTTTTCGAGCTTTCTGACCTTTCCTATACGTTTCAAATCTGGTATCATGGAAGGCTGGAAAACTTATGACTTTATAACTTTTTCACTGCTTGATTCTCTATCAGTTGTACCATTTTCGATTTCAATTCAAGATAACAGTGAGTTTTCAATGATTTTCTTCAATAATATTACTTACACAATTTTAGAATATAGATACACCAGAATCGGAACAACTGGAGAATCCTGGTTTCCATGTATGATTACTCCCATTTGTTCCAATCGTAGTCTGAAATAGCGAGTGTTTCTTGCCAATCTTTCGATTCGTTTCTGCCCTTCGTTAGTACCATCTTTACCCATAAGTATTTTCAAAACTGATATGATTTGCGAAGCCAGGGGTGGTGACATTGCCCACGCGTGTCGGGAAGCAAAACTCTTTTCTCGTAGAGTCGTAATAAACTCCTGCAAAAAAAATTATTTTATTTTAGTGAAATAGAAATCATTTGTTCAGAAGAATAATAATTATATCAAGTATAAATTGACATGTTCTATACCATGTTGTTGGTCTATGAATGAACAAATTTTTCTTTCTTTCATGAGTTTCTTGCAGAATATAAACAGTTCATAAATTAGAAACCTAATCTAGGACCCACTTGAAATTTATTCTATATGAACAAATTTTTCTTTCTTTCATGAGTTTCTTGCAGAATATAAACAGTTCATAAATTAGAAACCTAATCTAGAATCCACTTGAAATTTATTCTATATAAAATATCATGTATAAATCTGACATGCATAATCAAATTGATTACAGATCTATAAATGCTGCTCATTAAGAAATTTTGTTATCATAAGCATTTATTTTCCTTATCATTAATAAAATGAAGAGCCTTAGGACAAGTGTCTTAAGGCGAAAAATCGATGTATACCAGTGAGGATGACAGTGTTCCATGTAAGTGCAATTTGTTACCATTCGTTTGAAGTAGAACTCATGTGAATGATATCTGATTTTTATTCCACAACGAATGTTTGAAATACAAACTGAGTAGAGAAAAGTATCTTCTGTATAATTCAGTGTTCATATAGAAGTATTTGTTTCGAAANAATACAAAAATATATTTAATTTTTTATAATCTAATTTTTTAATCTTTATATTGCTGTATGAATTTAATGCTTTTTCAAAATAGCATATTTTTGGTGCAATGTAAACAAAATATAAATAAACCCTTCAAATATACCAGTATGAATATCTACAATGTATGTGCAATAACACTGATAATGAAGAGATAAAGAACTTTTTATAAGCAAAAGAAACTGATATTATGAGCGAATTATTGAAAAAATCTGTCATTCTAGAAGAATGTCATTTCAAAGCTGAGCTCCTCGAATGGTCAATATTTTATCATTTTTTCTATCTACAAATTTTAAGTTCATAAATGCGATCGGTGGTCAGAAATTCATTACACAGTACTAAAAAAAACTTTCAAAATACGCGATACCCTAGATTAAAACTACAAAAAATAATTTCCTCAGGAAGTGTTCTGTATGACGATTTTCACCAACGTAAAAGTGAACTTAAGCATTTCAAAATTTCAGTTTTTTTCTTTTTCCAGCATGTTATAAACTTACCTAAACCCATTTTGCAGAAAATCGCTTCGGCATCGGCAGGTTCGATTTTCGGCTTTTTCGACGACTTGTCTTCCGATTTTTTTGGCAACTCAGGTTCGACAAGTTTCTTGGTAGGTTCCACAGATTTCGTAGGCTCCGGTGTCTTCTCTCTAACTAGTTCCGGTGTCTTTGGCTTTACAGGTTCTGGAGTCTTCTGCCTGACAGGTTCTGGTGTTTTTTCTTCAACAGGTTCGGGTGTTTTCTGTATTGCAGGTTCAGAAATTCTCTCAATGTGTTCTGTTCCTTTTTCCTGGAGCGATTCCTTAACTAAACTCGAGGATTCAAGAACCGGAGCAGAAGGTTTGGACGCCGGCTTATCCTGTTTTGGAAGTTCTAGGAAATCTTCCAGATCCTTGAAGGTTTCCCCTTGAAGATTCTCCGTTGAACGGAACGTCTCCGAGTGACTCTTTTTTGGGGAGTCACCGTATTTGGAGCTCTCGACATGGCCTTCTTCATCGGGTTCACTGTCCGAGTAACGGTCTAGGATATCGTTACTGGAGTGAATCGGTGCCTTCTCAGGGGCCAGCCCACGTTCATTGTCCACGAAAGATTGAATATTATACTTATCTTGGAGAACAGGAATCTGATGGGGCGGCTGATTCATCTCGTGCAAGAACTTATCGAGTTTAGCGTCCGCTTCTTTGCGGTCTGGAAAATGGTCAACGCCTTCGGTTACATTGGATTCCATTTTTTCGGGAATCAAAGGAACGTTTCTCGAAGTATCGACACTGCCGATAATACAACTTCCTGTATTTCCTCCCCTACTATTGATTTCGTCGGATGACTCACGTGCTGGCGCCGCGACGTCCGATTTCAAACCCAAAAAGTCACTCGTGTATTCCTTCATTTCCTTCAATGGGCTGGAATCGTGGCCCAAATGTTCGAAATCGTCCATGGAATCGACTTCTCTCTTGAGCTTGGATAAATCTTCGATCTTATTCTCCATTTCTATTGCACTTGTTATAGGTTAGTCTGGATTCAGATTTGTTTTATTGCACTAGGTTGACAAACGATGGTAAACTGATGTTTAAACGAGCAAATGACATGTGTCAATACTTAAAACACGGAGCCGGCTGCAAACTGAAAAGATTTTAGTGATCTGACGTCTCTCCGTCTCGTGTTGAAGGTGGATTTCTTTGTTGATGCAGATATTGTGGAGGGGGGAATGACTCACATGAGATTGGCGCCATAGGCGTATCTCGGATTATTTTATTATTGATGGAAGGTCCCCAAAAGCAGCCCTAATAACTTGCGATGTCTGTTTGACTATGTTTCTCGGTGGAAGTTACATATTCAGACTTTTCTGAATTGGTTTGAACAGGTTGGGGCTCTATGGAACAACAAAAGAAAAAAAAATGAATGGTAAGTTCAACACCGTCCACCATCGAGAACCTAAAATATTACATACTTGGGGAGAAGAAAACGCACAACAGCGACTTCTGACAAGACTTTTCCTTAACACCACCCTGGACGTGTTTGAGATCTTGCACACCGTTGAGAACTTCATCGACGACTTCGCTGGCGACCTTTTTCAATTCCTGCTCCATTTTGGATACACGCACACACTGACAAACGACAGTTTTCAAAACAAAAACGACCCTCACTGCACTGAAGGGAACGGAAGAAAACACAGGTACGATCGACAACACTGACGTCCAATACCTACTGAGCAAGCGTACGAAATCGTTATCGACCCTGAGTTGACGCTGATGAGAGACTTTGTACCTTATTAGGGAGTGTTTGAAGAGGAAAGTCCAAAGGGCTATTTCGTGAAACACTTAATCATGAAAGCATAATAATTATCTTGGGTATGTAAAATTTCGTCTGAATTTGCCTAGAAAACAATTGAATTTTCCGCTACTCCGTCGTTGAAATTCAATTGTTTCATTGCAACAAGGACAAGGTCGTGCTCATGTCGAGATGTGCGCTAGTTCCAGACTGGTGCTATCGCGAGCGCCAGTGGCGTACCCGACAGGAGTTTCTTATTTTGAAAAGGTTTCTTTCTGGTATTAACTTCACTCATTCACTGTTCAAGAACTCTTTCAATTGGAGAACTGCGTTAATGTGGAATAAACTTCCTGAGAACGTTTTTCCAAATGGGTTTAATCTCCAGGGTTTCAAATCCAATGTGATTCGCTCTTAGAGCGCCTTACGCGTTTGTGTTTTGTTTAAAAAAATATGTTGAGCATGTACAGTTCCTTTTTTTGAACACGAAATTCTACAATTAGGTCGACAAAAGAATACACATGCGTCATCAATAAAATACGCGGTAAAACACACATACTTTCTATAGTAAGTCCCGAATTGTTCTCTACAAAAGAAAAACTTCATTATCGATTTGTCGAGAACTTTATTCCTCCCAAGTGCGCCGCTAGTGTCCACAGTGATCGACGACATGTTTGTGACCCTTTTTTCGTCTCCTTAAGTGTTTATAAGAAACAAGATTTGTTTAGTCTACTTAGAAATGTATCAAAGGCAGGACTTTCATAAAGTAGTGTTTAATTTTCCGAGTCAAATAGCAAGATTAGAAAAAATTACAGTCCACTCAAAAGTTTCTCAAGTCAATACACGATTATTAGTCAAAACAGATATACTACATATCTAATGAAAAAACTTTCCATCGCACAGAGCGCCGCTGATAGGTAAACTGATAAATATTTCTTTATCAACACATTTGGTACCTGATACTGCGAAAATTGCCGGAGAAAAACCATTATTTAAAGCAAGTAAAAAAAACCAATTCAGTTTTACCAGTTTCATCTAAAATCCTTGAGAAGTCTTGCACATTCTCGATTGTTTGAATATTTTGAAAAGTCGAAATTATTATGTGATGGGCAAGATCTTCCCTTTTCAACAGATTTGGTACCTGATGATGCAAATTTCCTGAGGAAATCATTATTTGAAGCAAGTAGAAAAGAACAAATGACATATTATAGACCAATTTCAGCTATATCTAAATTTATTGAGAAGTCATAACATTTCAGATGTTTTAGATATTTCTAGAAGTCAAAATTATTACATGATGAGCAATATGGATTTGAAAAAATAGTGACACGGAGTACACAGTATTAGATTACATAACCTAATTTGAGCTAGATCAAGATTCAAACAAAAAACGTAGGTCTTTAATTAGACCAAAAGCAAGCATTTGATACTGTGGACCATAAANGCAACTCATTGTATACTGAAATATTATTAACCAATTTTTGAAAACTAAAAAAAACGTGTAAAATCATGACTCTTGGACTTTTCAGGAATATGATCTAGGAAAAATATTCAAAACTGATCTCTCCTACAAATATATCCTTTTTAATATTGAAAACATGCCACAGCTGTTGTTTGTTGATCTTGCAAATACCTACATCTACTTGAACAAATTGGGAGTTTTTTATTTTAATAACAAAATCATAATCGCTGTTTCTTTGGCAAAACTTCTTTCCATTACGTCCCTTAATAAATGATTGGAGTAATTCGTTTAATCGTTGTTTCTTAGATAATCTTCTTCAAACATTCCTAAGATTATGAAGTTGATGAAGTAGGGTACAAAGCTTGAATATTAACGCACGTAAACATATACTTACAAACCAGAACTCAAAATATTTATTTTGGTATTAGGGTTTATCAGAATTTCTGGGATTCGGTCTGTTAAGAAAGTAAATGAAACTCTTTTCAGCTGCTCGAGCAATATTATTCAGGGTTTTTTGCTACTAGAAATGAATAAATGTTGATTATCGATGTCTGTCTGTTTGTTATTATTGTTTTCTTTAATTTTTATTTCAACCATCTCTAGATATTTTGACACATCTTTTTCAAGCTCCTGACAAATGCTTCACAACCCTAGAATATAATATCTACAACTACTACAAAATGGCGAACTTTTAATAATTGCCTGAATACATTGACATTTACCTACATATAATGAGGTAATGAGCTTGAGGTCAGTTCAGAAGAAGCTCGAAATGATTGCCTTGAACTTCTTGACATATGAAGAGCCTATCCGATATTTCACGCCGAATATTTATTATTCTCTGCCGTATATCCAATATTGAAGCAGGTTCAGTTTCGTACACCTTTTGCTTCAAACTGCTCCATAGAAAAAGTCCAAACGTGTCAAATCTGGCGAGTGGGCTTGCCATTCTGCAGGACCTCGACGGAGAATCCAACGAACGGGAAAAGTAGTATCCAAATAGTTTCTTATTTGTCTGGAGTAATGTGGTGATGCTCGTCTTGTTGGAATACAATATTCATATCTAATTCATTATGATTCGCTTCGACGATTTCAGTGATGAGAGAGTCAACAGTAGTTTCCAGCATATTCAAATACAGTTCCCCTGTTAAACTTCAATCAATAAATAGAGGTCCTACAATATGGTTTCCCAAATGTTACTGCCCAAACGTTAATTTTTTCTGGATATTGGGTATGTGTTTCCCAGAAAACGTGATATTCATTGTCGTACTGACATTTTTTGACGTTTTTATAAACAAAAAATAACAAACCTTATCGGTTAGTGGGAATTGCCATATGGCAGATAAAAAGAAATATTTCTAGAAATATCGATATTAATGTGTTTGTCTTTTGAGCTGACCCGTTCAAAAAATAAAAGGGGGGGGGGCATTAAAGAAATGTACTGTATATTTGAAAATTAAGAGTTTTCAACTCTGTCTTACACGCTCTGTCTTGCCTTTACCAACAGGTGAAAATTAATTGTTTGAAGGCTCGTATGCCTGTACAATTGTTTGGAAAGCTATTTCAGACTGTTGTGAAGGTGTTGGTTATCAAAGTATCTGAAATACTGTTCGCAACGGTTAAAGGCCGGATCGAAGACGTTTTCCCGCATTAATCAATCCAGGAAGATAAGCAAACATAATCCTTGGGAGGTGTCTTCACCGATTAAAGGCTGGATCGATTTCCTCATTTTCCAAGGACAATCAACAAATGAAAAAAAATATTATAATGAAATTGGTGTGGGATATTCCAGAGAAGAAGGAAAAGGGTAATCTTTCAAATAAAAAAAGATTTTGGAGACTTGATGAGCTCATTTGTTAACTTGAAAACTCGCATATTAGACGACTACCAAGTATTATCTCAGGTAAAAACAAATAGTACTTTATATGAATTTTATTTTTATAATAATTCATTTCATTTTTAAGGTAGATAAAATTTATAAATACTGCAAGTTATTGGTAATAATTAGATTAGTTTTTCTAGCCTTTATATTACGCAATAACTTTTTAGGTTAACTCTTTACCTTTCATTTTATTTGTAAAGATTACCTTTCGATCTGAATATATTCATTTTTCAATTGTGGAAGGTTAAAAACCTTAAAAACAAAAAACATTTTGAACANACAGTGATCGACGACATGTTTGTGACCCTTTTTTCGTCTCCTTAAGTGTTTATAAGAAACGAGATTTGTTTAGTCTACTTAGAAATGTATCAAAGGCGGGACTTCTATGCAAGCCACTAAGTGGCCTCAATTATTTTTTTTTAAGAAAATAACAGATTTGGTACCTGATAATGCAAATTTCCTGAGGAAACCATTATTTGAAGCAAGTAGAAAAGAACACATGACATATTACAGACCAATTTGAGCTATATCTAAATTTATTGAGAAGTCATAACATTTCAGATGTTTTAGATATTTCTAGAAGTCAAAATTATTACATGATGAGCAATATGGATTTGAAAAAATATGACACGGAGTACACAGTATTAGATTACATAACCTAATTTGAGCTAGATCAAGATTCAAACAAAAAACGTAGGTCTTTAATTAGACCAAAAGCAAGCATTTGATACTGTGGACCATAAAATATTCTAAGAATAATGCATCTAGTTTCAAAATGAATTATTGTATGTGTATATGGGTGACATAATTGATTCAAAAAAATATAATAGGTATGTGGGGTACCGCAAGAATCAATTCTGTAAGATGTTGATAATCATTTTTCAGACATTCAAAGTACGTTCAATCCATTTTTTCCAGTTTCAGTTCTGAATAACCTCTTTTTTTTTATTGCTCTGTTCGTACTTAGTTATTGTTACGTTTTTCTCCGTGGGTTGACCAATAATTAATTGACTACACTGAATTATCAA